AGGCAGGGTGGGTGATGACAGTCAGGGGTGGGTTATGACAGCCAGGGGTGGGTTATGACAGCCAGGGGTGGGTTATGACAGCCAGGGGTGGGTGAATGACAGTCAGGGTGGGTTATGACAGCCAGGGGTGGGTGATGACAGCCAGGGGTGGGTGATGACAGCCAGGGGTGGGTTATGACTGCCAGGGGTGGGTGATGACAGCCAGGGTGGGTGATGACAGCCAGGGGTGGGTGATGACAGCCAGGAGTGGGTGATGAGAGCCAGGGGTGGGTTATGACAGCCAGGGGTGGGTGATGACAGCCAGGGGTGGGTGATGACAGCCAGGGGTGGGTGATGACAGCCAGGGGTGGGTGATGACAGCCAGGGGTGGGTTATGACTGCCAGGGGTGGGTAATGACAGCCAGGGGTGGGTGATGACAGCCAGGGGTGGGTGATGACAAGCCAGGAGTGGGTGATGACAGCCAGGGTGGGTTATGACAGCCAGGGGTGGGTGATGACAGCCAGGGGTGGGTGATGACAGCCAGGGGTGGGTGATGACAGCCAGGGGTGGGTGAGATGACAGCCAGGGGTGGGTGATGACAGCCAGGGATGGGTGATGACAGCCAGGGGTGGGTGATGACAGTCAGGGGTGGGTGATGACACTCAGGGGTGGGTTATGACAGCCAGGGGTGGGTGATGACAGTCAGGGGTGGGCGATGACAGTCAGGGGTGGGTGATGACAGTCAGGGGTGGGTGATGACAGTCAGGGGCGGGTGATGACAGCCAGGGGTGGGTAATGACAGCCAGGGGCGGGTGGTGACAGTCAGGGGTGGGTGATGACAGCCAGGGGTGGATGATGACAGTAAGGGGTGGGTGATGACAGCCAGGGGTGGGTGATGACAGCCCGGGTGGGGTGATGACAGTAAGGGAGTGGGTGGTGACAGCCAGGGGTGGGTTGATGACAGTCAGGGTGGGTTGTGGCAGCCAGGGGTGGGTGATGACAGCCAGGGGTGGGTGATGACAGTCAGGGCTGGGTGGTGACAGCCAGGGGTGGGTGATGACAGTCAGGGGTGGGTGGTGACAGTCAGTGGTGGGTGATGACAGTCAGGGGTGGGTGGTGACAGCCAGGGGTGGGTGATGACAGTCAGGGGTGGGTGATGACAGCCAGGGGTGGGTGATGACAGCCAGGGGTGGGTGATGACAGCCAGGGATGGGTGATAACAGCCAGGGGTGGGTGGTGATAGCCAGGGGCGGGTGATGACAGTCAGGAGTGGGTGGTGACAGGCAGGGGTGGGTGATGACAGTCAGGGGTGGGTTATGACAGCCAGGGGTGGCTGATGACAGTCAGGGGTGGGTTATGACAGCCAGGGGTGGGTGATGACAGCCAGGGGTGGGTGATGACAGCCAGGGGTGGGTTATGACAGCCAGGGGTGGGTGATGACAGCCAGGGGTGGGTGATGACAGCCAGGGGTGGGTGATGACAGCCAGGAGTGGGTGATGACAGCCAGGGGTGGGTTATGACAGCCAGGGGTGGGTGATGACAGCCAGGGTTGGGTGATGACAGCCAGGGGTGGGTGATGACAGCCAGGAGTGGGTGATGACAGCCAGGGGTGGGTTATGACAGCCAGGGGTGGGTGATGACAGCCAGGGGTGGGTGATGACAGCCAGGGGTGGGTGATGACAGCCAGGGGTGGGTGATGACAGCCAGGGTGGGTGATGACAGCCAGGGATGGGTTTATGACAGCCAGGGGTGGGTGATGACAGCCAGGGGTGGGTGATGACAGCCAGGGGTGGGTGATGACAGCCAGGGGTGGGTGATGACAGCCAGGGGTGGGTGATGACAGCCAGGGGTGGGTGATGACAGCCAGGGGTGGGTGATGACAGCCAGGGGTGGGTGATGACAGCCAGGGGTGGGTGATGACAGCCAGGGGTGGGTGATGACAGCCAGGGGCGGGTGATGACAGCCAGCCTCTCCCTCCCTGGCTAGATAATTCACACACATACAGAGGGAGAGAGAGAGAGAGAGAGGGGAGAGAGAAGAGAGAGAGAGAGAGAGATGAGAGAGAGAGAGAGAGGAGGGGGAGAGAGAGAGAGGAGAGAGAGAGAGAGGAGAGAGTAGAGAGAGGAGAGAGAAGAGAGAGAGGAGAGAGAGAGAGAGAGAGAGAGAGGAGAAAGAGAGAGAGGAGAGAGAGAAGAGAGAGAGAGAGAGAGAGAAGAGAGAGAGAGAGAGAGAGAGAGAGAGAGAGAAGAGAGGGGAGAGAGAGAGAGAGAGAGAGAGAGAGAGAGAGAGAGAGAGTGGAGAGAGAGAGAGAGAGGAGAGAGAGAGAGAGAGAGAGAGAGAGAGAGAGAGAGGAGAAGAGAGGAGAGAGAGAGAGAGATGAGAGAGAGAGAGGAGAGAGAGGAAGAGAGAGAGAGAGAGAGAGAGAGAGGAGAGAGAAGAGAGAGAGGGGATGAGAGAGAGAGAGAGAGAGAGGGGGAGAGAGAGAGAGAGAGAAGAGAGAGAGGAGAGAGATGAGTAGAGAGAAGAGAGAGGAGAGAGATAGTGGACAGATAGAGGAGTAAATACATAGATAAAGATATGGAAACAGATATATGATATTTTGAATTAAAAACAACGCATAAGAAACAAGTAAGTTAAACATGGCGTGCAGTGTCCGTAGAGTGTGCGCGTTTCTCTCCGCATTGACCTACTACTCTTGTTAAGTGCTACACTTCCAGTCCTCTTCTCTTCCTCTCGTCTCCCTCTTCTCTCCCTCTTCTACCTTTATTCATTCCCTATTCTACATCACTTACCTTTCATCTGTCTCCCTGGATTACAATCCCACCGAGATTCTTCAAGCGTTCCTTCTGCAATGGGAAGTTGTCGTAGCTATGTAGGCATTTGTAAACACACAATTAAAATACGAGAAAAAGCTTACTCGTAGATGTTTAAATTGTAGATTGTAGCAGCGAATGTCGTTCTAGGTGCAAGAGTGCAGCACATCTCTGCAACAGCTCGCTGTGTCAGCTTAGTGCTCTGGTGAATAGAAGGTTAATTCTGTAGCTGATATGTAGTTGGTTAGATGTTATGGCAGTCAGCTATTAGAGGTATCAAGTATTCCTGTTTCAGTAGTCCTGGCTTAGTGGTCCTGCTCCAGTGGTCCTGCTCCAGTGGTCTTGCTCTAGTGATTCTGCTCCAGTGGTCCTGCTTCATTGGTCCTACTCCAGTGGTCCTACTCCAGTGGTCCTGTTCCAGTAGTCCTGTTCCAGTGGTCCTGTTCCAGTGGTCCTGCTCCAGTGGTCCTGCTCCAGTGGTGCTGCATCAGTGGTCCTGCTTCGATGGTCCTGCTCCAGTGGTCCTGCTCCAGTGGTCCTGCTCCAGTAGTCCTGCTCCAGTGGTCCTGCTCCAGTGGACTTACTGAGCTAACAACAAACATGGAGGCAATAATTCTCTCCTAGAGGAGAGAATTTGCTCCAGTAATTCAGTGTAACATCAACATTTTTGCCTTAGCGTGGAATGTATCGCTGTTAACGCCACTCTCTCTTCCTCCTTCCTTCTTTTCCATTCTCCCTTTCTCTTTCCGTCTTTTTTTCTTTCTCTTCCTACATCGCATCATCCCTCCCTTCTTCGGCAGATTCAACTGTCAATCAAAATATACAGTATTCCTTTCCTCTTCAGCTGAACCACTGGTCAGTGTTTAGCTCGTTTGTGTTTGTTAAAGGTGAATCCCGTGTGGGATTTTCAAAACAAGGGATGTGAAAGGGAGACGGGAGATCATACTTCCGCATCCAGGCTGAATTCAAGACTAAAGTGTAAACTAAACTTGTGATGGTGTCTGGCATTACCACTATAAACAAACAGCAGCAACAGTAGAAATAATAACAACAATAGTAGCAACAGCAGCAGCAACAGTAACAAAAACAGCAACAGGTGTGGTGAAGACCTGGTCACCGCCAGGACACAAGGACGTCGTGTTCCATTCATTATGTACCTGACTACACGAAACCCAAAGTCTTAGGTACTCACAGAGTCATAAGCACCCTTGTTGAGCCGGGAACATAATTCCACACTGAACATCCAAAATCCTTATTCCCGAAGGACAAGGACACACACATACACACACGCTGTGTTTACACCAGAGTTTCATAATATATCACATTATTTACATGTCTCTTGGCATTTCAATCACAGCTTACAAAAAACCCAAATTAGAAACTCGAGAAAAATAGTTACCATTTCCTCTTCCATGATTAAATAACAAGGCCCAAAAAAAGTCTTTCATTATTAGATTTTAAAAAATATTGTCAGTGACTTTCCATATTTTATAAAAAAATGTGAAAAACATGAAAAATGAAAGGTCTGAGAGAAGAGTAATTAAGAGCGTAGGTAGCATGCCTAAATGCCAGACATTTCTGTGAAATTCAGACAGACTGGAAACGCTTAAAGCAGAATTATTAGTGAGCTATTTGAGTTATGAGGAACGCGGAACATCAGTTCTCACACTGATGACTACTAAGCAGACGCCATTCTCGGGAGGCTGGGAAAAAGTCTTGCTGGTTTTGGAAACATGAGCGTACAGTATCCCCCTGACGCGGAGCTGTGCAGAGGAGACACGCGTTACAGAAGAGGAGGGAATGTTGCAAAAGAGGGGACATACGTTGCAGGAAAGAAGACACGGGTTGCAGAAGAGGAGACACACTTTGCAAGAGATGAGACGCACGTTGCAAAAGAAAAGACACATTGCAGAATAGGCATTTGTTGTGAAATGGTCTCGCACTATGTAGAGCTTCGTCAAGTAATGTCCTGCTAAAGCTCTATAAAGAGCTTTATCAACCTTATTCCAAAACCGTGGGGGTCCTTTACTCAATGAATAATGGAAGATCGATCCTCCGTCCGCTAATCATATCATGTTCTGTGCCCAGTTAAGCTGTTAGTGACAGCACCAGACAATTAAGAATCAAAAAGTAGGGGATTAGAGAACATCATAGAATCGAGGTATATTAGAAAACATCGTAGAATCGAAAGTATGTGCGACACTTACAGTCCATCTGCGCTGATCGGTCTCTCACATCCTGCTGAAGGAGGGCTAGCTTCTCCTGCAGCTCCTCTGAGTTGTTCAGTGTCTCCTGGGCGCCCTTGAGGGTTTCAATGTTTCTCGTCAGAGCGGCTACCTCCTGCTGTTTCTCCGCTAGCGAGATGGTCAGCTGGTCCACCTGTTTCTGATACCGTTCCTCTTGGTCAGCCAGCTCTTTTCTGGAAAAAAAATTGGGTTACGGGATTTTGTTTTCATTGCCTTTTTTTTTTAGGGGGGGGGTTAGGTATTCTGGACCATTGTCGCTATTTGATATTGGCCCAGGATGAACTAAAACGTCTTTCAGTGGAAAGAGGACCTACCTGGCGGAGCCGAGGGCTTCCTGAAGCAACCGCGTCGCCTCAGTAGCATCGTCTTCTGTCTGGCATGTCTTAGAGGCAGCCGTTGTCTCCTGAGTCTGCAGTTGCACCGATCTCACCTCCACACTAGTAGCGTTTCGTTTTTTGTTGTCGTTAGCAGTTTTGCGATTCTCGTTATTGCTGTTTTTACTGTCGTTTTCAGTCTTTCCATTCTCGATATCAGTGTTTTTACTGTCGTTTTCAGTCTTTCCATTCTCGATATCAGTGTTTTTACTGTCTTTTTCATTCTCTGAATTCTCGTTGTATATGTTTTCATCGTCCTTGACAATTTTCTGATTCGCGTCTTGAATGCTTTTGTTGTCGTTTTCAGTATTTTCGATCTGGTTGCTCTTTGGTTCCTCCTCATTAGCGGCGATGTCTTCGTCTTTAGAGCTGCCCTTCCTCAACCTGGCGCTCGTAACCTTAACGTTAGTGGAGTCGTAGATTCCTGCGTTGTTTTTGTCAGTCCCGGTCTTCAAGATGGCACCTCCTATATCAGTCTTATTGATATCGTTTATTACACAAACTTCATCAATTTTTCTTTCGTTGTCTGCGTTCCCATTTCTGGAGTCCGTGAGTTGATTGGAGTCTTTGGCAATTATTACTTCCATTTCTTGTTTTCTACTTAACGCTCTGTTGGTATCTTTCCTTTCAAGTGACTTCGATCTTGCAGAGTGAGGAACTAGACTCTCGTCTACATCCCGTAAAACCTCTGATCGTCTTCTGCTGGTAGACAAGGACCTTCTTCTGGGCGGTTTGTGAGCACCAGCAGCGTCACCGTCAAGCATTGGTCTACCTCTTCCACTTGTGTTTACATCTTCTGGATATCTGGAGGTATCAGCAATTCTCGACGCAGACTGAGTTCGACTTCTCGATTTAGAGTCTCTTTCCGGTGACATTGGCTTCATGTTCATGTCACAAGCGTGCTTGATCTCACTCTGCGTTACCGACCTGGTCAGCCTACGCTCAGATCCTCTTGATTTTGATCTTTGACGTGGTGGAGGGGCTATGCTAGAGTTTATTGATGTGGTAAGAAAGTCGTTTCCATCATTATTTTCCTGGGTTTCACGAGCTCTCCTTCCCGTACTGGCTGATCTCGTCCTGTGACGAACTGTCGAGCCTTCACCAAGATCGTTAGTACCACAAGAATTTTTGTCATTGGATACAGTGGTATTCATCACAGTGCCTTTTGTCCCATTTCCTGATGCCCGCGTCCTGCTTCGAGTGCTTGTGCGCCAGGGGACAAGTACTTCGTCGTATTCCTTGTTGTCGTTGCTCATGGTATTGCCGTTGTCTTTCTCATGGTGATTCTCCTCTCCACGACTTCGACGTCGTCTGATGGAAGAGGACGACCTGCGGCGAACTCTTTCCCTGACTTCGTCCTTCGCTACTCCTCGACCTCTCTCCATACTGAGGTCTTCCTCACACTCCGCTCCCTCCGATAACAGTCGTCTTCTTTCAAATACTTCGGAAGTATTTTCTCTCTTAAGTTCCCTTGATGTAGACAATGACCTCGGTCTTTCCCTGCGATGTTCTTTGTCTTTCCGGTGTGTCTTCCCGTCTTCTTTGGAAAGAATCTCAGCTGAGACTCTCCTCTGTGTGCCTTTTCCGTTTGTTAAAGAACTGCTACGCAGCGGGATTCTAAATACCACGTGAGTGGCTGTCGTAGCTTCGCTTATTGTTGAAACATTTGGATTTTTGTTGGACTGTACAGGCTCTCTTATTGAAGCTTCTTCTGTCTTTGAATTAACTTCTTTGTTAGCATCAGCCTTCATGATCCCTGATTCCACAACTGTAGTCAAGGATGCAATTATTGGCTGTTTTGTAAGCAAGGAAACCTCCAAGGGTTTTTCATCATCTCCTCCATACAACTTTCTTTGGACAAGGAGAGTGCTTTCTTCTACTGGTGTTTGGAAGATGATCTGTGACATCCCTCTATTCTCGCTCTGTGTGGGTCTGACTCCACAGCTCTTCGCCATTCTTGTGCTAATTTCATCCCTCTGGCTTAAGTGTCTCTGATCTCCCCTTGCATTCTGTAGTGAAACTCCTTTGCTTGTGCTATTTTCAAATGAGTATTTTTCAGGTTGTTTCGTAGCGTCAGTAACAGGACCATTATAGCGTATGGTTGCACCAGGGGACACGCTGCTGTTTACATTTTGAGGGATTTTATGGTGATTGTTTGCGGCTGAGGAATGCAAAAATCTTTCTTCGTTTACAGGAGTCAGGGACGAAGATCTCTTGTGTGATGAACCATGAGATGTCCCACCTGACGAGACTTCTGGCACTGAATGTCGTGTAGAGTACGTCGTCAAGTCTTTGTTGCCAGACTCCTTGATCTCCCTTCCTATATGTAATGGGTATGATGATTTGGTCCCTAAAACACCCTTTGATTTACGAGCTTTTTCTAGTGTGTCGGATGCTGATGTTTGCCCTTCGCTGTCATTTTCTGGTATGGATTCCAGGGAATGCATAGATGATATGGAATGACGTGATTTACCAGCAGTAGGAGATACGCTTCTTGGAGTCAACTTACTGCCCGTCTCTGGCTTCACTTCACAAGGTAAGCTATTTGTGGGTGGCGGTGAAGGTGAGGAACTCAGCCCTGGCTTTACCGTCGCTAGTGGTAGCTGAGTTTTGGCTTTGGCTGAAGACAAGAGTTGTGTTGTTGTTTCTGGGACTGTTGACGGTGGAGAGGATTTTGGCGTTACACTAACATCAATGGGGTTTGGTGGTGATACACTGTTTTGTACTTCTGGTTCACTTCCACACGTGTGATCCGACGAGACGTGTCTAGTAGTGTCGGGGGAAGCTGGTGGTGTTTTGAGCTTGTCTCCGTCAATAAAGAGAACGGCAGTATCGGTGGTCGTCGAAGGTGATGGTGACGGAGGCGGGTTGACAGGGGACCGAGAGCCTGCTCGGCGAGACACCACTGTTGGGTTGGTTTTAATGTTTGTCCTGACTGCCTTACGACCAGAAGTTGGGGATGAGGTGAGCCTACCGCCTGTGCCTAGACGAGGCCCCGGGGGTGTACGTCGCCCGGAAGGGGAGATGGGTCTGGCTGTCAGACTGGAAAGACTGGACGTGGAACTAGAGGGCGTAGAGAGCATAGAGGTCCGCCCGTCTGGAGAGGTAGGGCGAGACGACGGGCCAGTAACAGCAGGGTAGGGGGGAACGACCTGGGCACAGGGCATGCCGGGGGAAGATGGTGGAGTGATCAAACTAGGGGAAGGCGTGTAGCGGCTCTCCTCCTTTTCAACAGCCATCATCACCTCTGTCTGTTGATTAGGAGGAAGTCCTGAAGTGGCTAGAGGACCTCGTGGCGCCACCACTCGGGGATTCAGAGGCGGCTTCATAACCAGTGGCGAGGAACTTGTGGACAATGTTGCTGTTGTCCCACTCATAACCTTGAGATCTTTGCAGTCTTGTTCCTCTGTGTCTCTGGATAACACAGTCGCTTCCTCTACAGCACAGCCTGCTGGAATACCCCAGCTATTTTGCCCAAGCTTTCTCGTTTCTTCACGCTCCGAGTTGAGACGTGAGTCTTGTTTACAAAGGCTGGATACCACAGAATTACCTGAAGAAGGTTGGTCCACTCCAGCGGACCCGCCGAAACACGGGTTTCCTGGCAGCTGAGCGGAGAGGGAGGAGGAGGAGGAACAAACCACCCCGTCGCTACTGAAGCTGCTACTGCTGTTCCTGGGCGGTGGTGTATCGTAGCCTCCTGCTGCTGCGTCGTCCTGACACGGAGGGTCGTCATGGTCGCTGTCAGTCCACCCCCCGGAGCCACGCGCCCCGAGGGTCTTACTCTTCTTAGACGGAACTACCGCCTCTTCCGTCACCTTGACCCGCTCGATGGACTTACTCTTCCTGAAGATCGATTTCGATATTTTCTCTTCCTTACCTTTTCGAATGGCCACCTTCGTGTCTTTCTCCTCTTTACTCTCCTTCTCTTTCTTCTTATCTTTGTTAGCGTCACTGTTTTTATCTTTCCCAACGGATTTGTCTTTATTTTTGCTCTTAAAAAATCCGAACATAGTGTGAAGCCTTGACTATGTCAATATCTCATGAGTTCCTGAGTCGTAGGACCCACACGATGCTAGCTTTAAGAAGCGTCCGGGACCTCGCTACACCACCTGAACGAGTTTTATATATTATTCCGAATGATCCACACGGGCTTAATGTTTAAACGAAAACAAATTGTATATTAATATATGCGTAGGGAAGTCGTAAGGTCGTAAGGAGTCAAGCAGCGGAGGAGGAAAGGAAGAGGATCAGATCTGGATGGCATATGAGACATGGGCAAAATGCGACGCTTCACTTTGACAACATTTCTCTCTATGTAGAGGTTTGTCATGTATCGCTGTGTTTAGAACATTACTAAGTACTTAATTAACCCCTAGACTGAGCGAAACGTTCTCATGATTTAAGATTGTTTTGTCTCCTTCGCCAGTGACATGTCTTAACGGAAGCGTTATCGTTCACTGTCTTACTGTGGCTTTGTCTTGCAAGGCAGTGGCAAGAAAACTGCTGACAAGTTCTGTACATAATGCAGCTTAATGATCTACACGTCCAATGTTATTGGTGAAAAGTGAGTTGTAGGTGAGCAGTATGTTCATACTTGATGCAGCGTAGTTGTGATGGTGATACTGTTGTGATGGTGGTGGTGATGGTGATGATAGAGGTGGTGGTGGTGATGGTGATGATGCTGTAATGGTGATGGTGATGCTGCTGTGATGGTGGTGGTGATGGTGATGATAGAGGTAGTGGTGGTGATGGTGATGATGCTGTAATGGTAGTGGTGATGGTGATGATGCTGTGATGGTGGTAGTGTAGTGATGGTAGTGATGATGGTTGTGGTGGTGATGCTGTGATAGTAGTGGTGTAGTGATGGTGGTGATAATGGTGATGGTGGTTAAGCTGTGATGGTAGTGGTGTAGTGATGGTGGTGATGATGGTGATGGTGGTGATGCTGTGATGGTAGTGGTGCAGTGATGGTGGTGATAATAGTGATAGTGATGGTGGTGATGATAGTGATAGTGATGGTGGTGATGATAGTGATGGTGGTGAGGGTGGGAGTGGCACTTCCTCTACTGTCTCTTGGCACTACCTCACGATGACTCATCCCCATAAAAAAATCATTTGAGACATAAAAAAGGCCACTAGACGCAAACTGGCACTTATGTAATCCCAGAGCCATATTTAGCCCAATGGGCGAAGTGCCAACAGCTTAAATAGCCAATCACGTGTTCAGAGCCACCAAGAAGTTCAGAAATGACGAAAGTGAATCCGTACACAGTACCCATTGTTTCAAGACTTTTAGACTGGTTAATGGGATTTAAATCCTGTCGACTGCACTAGGGACATTAAGCCTACATGTCACCTGTATACCACCAGTCAATTTAAGCCTACATGTCACCTGTATACCACCAGTCAATTTAAGCCTACATGTCACCTGTATACCACCAGTCAAGAATACTTCAGTCCATTAAACAGTGATTAAAGCAGTCTCAGTGTATACATACTGAGAGATACACACCGTGTATATCTCACACAGGAGATATACACCTCACTGTGTATATCTCCTATGTGTTATACCGAACTGGTGTTTCACTCCATTTAAAGGTACTGGATCCCACTTTAATAGGTTGAATAGCTCTCTAGTAGCGAGTTATGAAGAGTGAGGCCTGTTTAGTATGTTTATAAAATATAAAATATATATATATATATATATATATATATATATATATATATAATATATATATATATATATATATATATAATATTATATATTTTTATATATATATATTTTTATAATATAATATTTATATAAAATTATTATATATATATAATAATATATATTATATATATATATATTTTAAATTTATTTACAAGTTGTCAAGGTTTCACTGAGGGAATTTCACACTGGATTTTTATTTGTTTAAGAATTATGTCGTGAAAATAGTGAGTAAACACATTGAGTTTTATTCTGAAGGAAAGTTATGTCTGGAGTCTTAGTCTGGAGGAAGACTGTGTCTGGAGTCTTAGTCTGGAGGAAGACTATGTCTGGAGTCTTGGGGTCTGGAGGAAGACTATGTCTGGAGTCTTAGTCTGGAGGAAGACTGTGTCTGGAGTCTTAGTCTGGAGGAAGACTGTGTCTGGAGTCTTAGTCTGGAGGAAGACTATGTCTGGAGTCTTAGTCTGGAGGAAGACTGTGTCTGGAGTCTTAGTCTGGAGGAAGACTGTGTCTGGAGTCTTAGTCTGGAGGAAGACTATGTCTGGAGTCTTAGTCTGGAGGAAGACTATGTCTGGAGAAACTCTCATTCCCTCCCTGTCTGCCTCTCCCTTCCTTTCTCTACCTGTCCTCTCTATCTCGCTGCAGTAATCATTTTTCATCCTCACAATCCTCCATGTCTCCTGACAACATACCTCCCTCCTTTCCCCTCTCTCCTATCCCCCTCCCTCACTTCCCCTCCCTCCCGCCCTCTCTCCTTCTCTCCCTCCACCAAAATGATTTAACATCTCCCTCCATCCTCCTGTCACCTGACACTCACCTCCTTCAACAATCCATCTTAAGCTGATAATACACACACACACACACACACACACACACACACACACACACACACACACACGCGCGCGCGCGCGCGCGCGCGCGCGCTAGACTGACTAGAAACAAAGTAACTCTGATCATCATTCATTATCTGATACAGAGAGACTACTGCTGCCAGCTCATTGTTATAGGATCAGGTGGACAAGACAATGAATGATTTCATCTCTATAATATGTCTTCTGGCTTCACAACGTTGACGTATCACACTAAATGATAATTTACTTAGTTGTTTATGTATATTGCAATGAAATGTATATTGGTGAAACTAAGTGTCAACTGAAGGTACACATCTTGGAATACTTGAGCAGATCTATTAAAACGGATAGGTAATTACCAGAACTATCATTTAGTGTCATAGACTAACACCGTGAAGCCAGAGACCACACTGTAGACATGGAATCATTCACCACACTGCAACATTAGACACAAGTCTACCCTCTGGAATAGTGAGCATGCTGTAGAGTTAGTGTGTTTCTAGCTTTTTATTCTTTATTATTCTTCTCTTGTCTTTTTTTTTTTCAACAAGTCGGCCGTCTCCCACCGAGGCAGGGTGACCCAAAAAAAGAAAGAAAATCCCCAAAAAGAAAATACTTTCACCGTCATTCAACACTTTCACCACACTCACACATTATCACTGTTTTTGCAGAGGTGCTCAGAATACAACAGTTTAGAAGCATATACGTATAAAGATACACGACATATCCCTCCAAACTGCCAATATCCCAAACCCCTCCTTTAAAGTGCAGGCATTGTACTTCCCATTTCCAGGACTCAAGTACGACTATATGAAAATAACCGGTTTCCCTGAATCCCTTCACTAAATATTACCCTGCTCACACTCCAACAGATCGTCAGGTCCCAAGTATCATTCGTCTCCATTCACTCCTATCTAACACACTCATGCACGCTTGCTGGAAGTCCAAGCCCCTCGCCCACAAAACCTCCTTTACCCCCTCTTTCCAACCCTTTCGAGGACGACCCCTACCCCACCTTCCTTCCCCTATAGATTTATATGCTTTCCATGTCATTCTACTTTGATCTTGTCTTTTACTTATATTAATTCGATTTTTAAGTCATGTTAAGATCTAGTTCCAGTTGATAATTGTCTTTGATTTGATACAGTGTGTGATGATGGAGTGAACTAACTCCGAAACTAGTCGTGAATAAACGATGTTTGAAGTAGCAGTGATATATATAAATATATATATATAATATTATATATATATAATATATATTATATATATATATATATATATATTATATATATATATATAATATTATTTTTTTTTATTTTCACACCGGCCGATTCCCACCAAGGCAGGGTGGCCCGAAAAAAAAAACTTTCACCATCATTCACTCCATCACTGTCTTGCCAGAAGGGTGCTTTACACTACAGTTTTTAAACTGCAACATTATAAATATATATATATATAAATATATATATATATAAAAATATATATATATATATATATTTTAAATTATATATATATATTATAAATATATATATATATATAAAAATATATATATATATATATATAAAATATATATATATATATATATATATATATATATATTTATATATATATAATATATAAAATATATATATATAAATATATATATAAATAATATATTTTAAAATATATATATGCAATAAGATCAAAATAAACAGGGGATTTCAGAATATGCAAAACAACCAATCTGAAAGAATAGAGAAATTAAAAAGCGCTTTCGGGGGACTACTCACATTATAAAGGGAACTATAAAAGAAAAAGCACCCCAAGGGGAAGCTATGAAAGGGGTCTGGCCAGCCCCTTCCTATCAATCCCCCAACGGTTAAACACCTGACGCGCGCCGACCCGATTTGGGATAGGTTTTTTTGGGGCAAACTCCCCCAAAAAAACTTTTCTACCCAAAAATTTTAAAAATTTTTTTAAATTTGCCCCAGTGTTTTTATTAAATTTTTTCCCAAATTCTTTTTAATTAAAAAGGGATCTAATTTATAAAACCCAAAAAAGGGAAATATTCATTTTATTGTCAAAACTGCTTTTTTTGAAACAGATTCAATTATATTCCTGCGACCATGGACTTGTTTTAATACTATTTTCTCAACTTTTTGAAAATCAATTGGATGGGAAAAATTCTTACATTGGGAAAAATAGAGCATTTGGGAACTTGTTTCCCGTTTTTAAAGCTATATTTATGTTGTTTTTTAAACCCTTTGTTCGAGATTTTTACCAGTTTGACCGAATAAACTTTATCGCAAATTTTACAAGGAATCTTATAGACACATCCATCAGCATTTTGGGGGGAATTCTTTATCAAAAGTTTTTTTACTGTATCAAGATTTTTGAATACAACTTTAATATTAAAAGCCTTAAGAAGAGAAGGCATATCAACCAAGTTTTCATGGTAAGGGAGAACCAACATATTTTAGTTGAATAAGGCTGGTTGTCCCTTTTTGGATTGCTAGAAATACTTTTTACAATCCAAAAAGGGACAACCAGCCTTATTCAACTAAAAATA